CCTCCCCCATTCACAGAGATCAGGAAGTAAACAGTCTACTAACCCTGCTGACAACTACTATCTGGCCCGGAGGAGAACCTTGCAAGTAGTGGTGAGCTCCTTGTTGACTGAGGCAGGATTTGAGAGCGCAGAGAAAGCTTCTGTGGAAACACTGACCGAGATGCTGCAGAGCTGTGAGTACTGGAAGGATCAGGCCTTTTTCGAGTCAACCCGGATACCAGTACTATGCCCTGTGCCGTGCTGGTGTTAGGGAGCATTTGAGGGGAGAACTGGGCGTAGGTGATTTACAGACGTTAGAATCGGATGATTGATATGAATGTGAATCTGCCACTTTATGGTTTGGACCGATCACTAACCCTCAGTTTCCTTGCATGAAATGGAATAATAATTTGTACCCGAGGGAGGTGTGCATGTGAGAGGCATATGCAGAATGCTTAGTGCTGGTGGGATTGTAAACGCCTGATGACTTGTAGGTGCCCTTATTACTGTTTCCCCTCTATTCTCAAAGGACTTCAAATTCTGTTGGGGAGGCAGGACTGAATCCCATGAAATAGGATCCCATCGCATTATGTAATTACTATATTGTGATGCAAAGAGGATGGATAAGCTTTATAGAATAGAAAAAATATTTTTGAAAGGACATGTCTTAGCCAGGTATGATATAAAAAAAACCTAGAAATCCAGCTACTTAGGAGGCAGAGGCAGGAATATCTTAACCTTGAGCCTTGCCTGGACAATTTAGACTGTCTTTTGTTTGTTTGTTTTTTGTTTTTGTTTTTTTTGAGGCAGGGTCTCACTATGTAGTTGAAACTGACCTGGAACTCACTATGTAGCCCAGGCTGGTCTCTAACTCACAGCGATCCTCCTGCCTCAGCCACCTGAGTGCTGGGATTACAGGCGTGCACTACCATGCCCGGCCAATTTACACTGTCTTTAAAGAAAAAACTAGGGCAGGGAATGTAGCTCAGTGGCAGAGCGCCTGCTTCGCAAGCCCCAGATCCTGAGTTCAGTCCCTGGTACTGCTAAATAAATAAATAAATAAATAAATAAATAAATAAATAAAATAAAAAATTTAAAAACCAAAAATAATCATGGAGGTACATTCCTATAATCCTAGCCCCTTCGGAGGTTGGGGGAAAAAGACTGCAAGTTCAACGGCAATCTGGGCAAGTTAGTGAGACCTTATTTCAAAATAAAAGAAAAGAAAAAAGGGTTGGGAGTATAGCTCAGTGATAGGGTGCTTACCTAGCATGCACAAGGCCCTGGTTTCAATCCCCAGCAGTGCAAAAGGAAAAAAAAAAAAAAGGAGAAGTCTTGATTTTAGGAACCAGGTATTTCCCTGTGTACAACTTGTTTTGGGGTGGGATAAATGCGTGGTGGAGTTCATGGTGTTTCATGGTGAGTGACACCTCCTCTGAAAGTAAATAAGGGAAAGGTTGGGACAGAGAGATGGTGAACTGCAGTGCAAATCCAGCAGGACCATTTCCGGAGCAGTTCCTGCCTGTCACACTGCAGAGGCTCTGTGCTTGTACCCAGAATCTACCCTGCGTGCTGGGGACCAGACCTGTGAGCAACAGCTCCTCAGTTCCTTGTCCCCGGCTCCAATAACCTCGTCTACTTCCTGACAGTATGAATTTGCTTTTTCTAGGTACCTTATAGTTCATCATGTTGTGGCATGTATCCAAACGTCATTCTTTTGGGGGATGAGTTCCACTGTGTGGAATGAATGTGTGTGTGTGTGTGTGTGTGTGTGTGTGTATCTATAGATATAGATATATAGGTATATATGTGTAGATATCTATATATCTATAGATATACAGACACACATTTACATATATCTCTGTCATCATATATGTATATATATCTATATATAGATATATATACAATTATATATACGCTGTGTTTATACCTCTGTCAGTGTATATATTTACCTGTCAGTTGTCCCACCTTTTCTTTATTTGAATAATGCTGCTCTGAACACAGTGTACAAATATCCGGCTGAGTCCATTTGCAGTTGATTTGTGTGTGAACCTAGAAGTGGAATTGCTGGCTCTCATGGTAATTCCATGTTTCACTTTTTTTTTTTTCTGGTACCGGGGATCGAACTCGGGTCCTTGGGCTTGTGAGGCAGGTGGCGGAACCACGGAGCTAAATCCCCAGTCCTCCGTGTTTCACTTTTGAGGAGCTCTGACAGGCCCCGTGGCTTTGATTCCCTCGTAGACATTTCAGAAATCGGGCGGAGCGCCAAGGCATACTGTGAGCACACGGCCAGGACCCAGCCCACGCTGTCGGACATCGTGGTCACGCTGGTGGAGATGGGTAAGGGCGTCTGCACATCTGCTCCCTGCTGCCTCATCTGCTTCTAGCTTGAGAGTGATAAGGAGAGGGCGCCTGAGCCCTGCAGGTCCTTCTGCTGGTTGCTTCAGCGGGGAGTTAAGCCTCAGAGTCCCACACTGTCACTGCGCTTCCCGCACTTGCTGTCCGGTGGTCCAGGCAGGGCTGTTTTCTCATCTCACAGGGTTCAACGTGGACACTCTCCCTGCCTATGCGAAGCGGTCTCAGAGGATGGTCATCACTGCCCGTAAGTGACCTCACTGAGCACTGCGGTGGGTGAGCTAGATGCTGAACAGGGCGGGGAGTAGACCAGCAGCAGTTTCTCTGTTTCCAGCCCCCTTCCAGGCTCTGCCCCCCTCCACCTAATCTCTGTCTGGGCTCACAGGATTAGCATGTGAAGTTCGGTCCCACAGAGGAAAACCATCCCTGAGACATTGCCGTTTCCTGTGCTTTAGTCCCTGAAGCGCAAAGGCTGCTGCTTGAGGAAAGCAGTTCTTGTTCTTCCTTAGATCAGAGCTGCTAAATCATGGCCCCTGGGCTCAGTGCAGCCCACTGCCTACAGCCCACTGTCTGCTTTGCTTTTTGTTTTTGTTTTTTGTTTGTTTTGGTACTGGGGATCAAATTCAGGCGTTTGTGCTTCCGAGGCAGGCACTGGAACCACTGAGCTAAATCCCCAGCCTGCTTTTTGTTTTTGAGACAGGGTCTCACTGTAAAGTCCAGGCTGGCCTTGAACTCACTGTGTAGCCTGGGCTGCCTCAGTCTTGCAGTCCTGCCTCTGCCTCCCAAGTGCTAAGACTATAAGCGTGCACCACCCATGCCTGGCTTCTGCTGCCTGATTTATAAAGTTTTATTGAAGCACAGCCATGTTATTGTCCCTGATTGCTTTTATGCTCTAGTGGCAGATTTAACTGTGACAGAGATTATGTGGCCTGCAAAATCTAAAGTATTTACTGTATGGCCCTTCACACACAAACTTTGAGGCTGCCTTGGATAAAACTAGGTGCCATAAGCTGAGTAGGTGGTAAGTTTGGGCTTGTAAGACTTGGGAAGAAATCACTGGATTTGGGGGGGGGTTGTTTTTATTTTTGTTTGTTTGTTTTTTGGTTTCGGGGATTGAACTCAGGACCTTAGGCTTGCGAGATGGGTGGCACCACTGAGTTAAATCCCCAGCCCTAAAGTCACTTTTTTCTTTTCATTTTCCTTTTTTTGGTACCGGGGATCAAACTTAGGTCCTTACACTTGTGAGGTAGGCGGTGGAGCCACTGAGCTAAACCCCTGGCCCAAAACATAATGAAATTTCATTTCTATGAGTCTTTTTTGTTCCTGGTACGGGAATGGAACTCATGTCCTTGTGCTTGCGAGGCAGGTGGCTGAACTACTGGGCTAAATCCCCGGCACTCTTTTCTTTTTTTTTGAAACAGGGTCTTGCTATGGAACCCAGACTGGCCCTGAGCAGGGTCCTCCTGCTGCCTTAGCCTCCTGAGTGCTGGGAGTATGGGTGTGCACTACCACGCCCGGCCTCATACATTTTTTTCATATTGGCTTCTTTTAAAGAATTCTCAAGCAGGAGGAATGCTTTGAGTTCAAGGCCAGCCTAGTGACAACCTCAAACTAAAAACATGGTGGAGTGTGGTGGTGCACCCTATAACCCTAGCCCTCAGGCAGGAGTATCTCCATGAGTCTGAGGCCAGCCTGCTCTACATAGTGAGTTCAAGGCCAGCCTGAACTGTATAGCAAAACCCTGTCTCAAAAAAAGACACCCCCGCCCCAAGAACTCTTCTCAAAGTGGCAGTGGAAGATGCTGTTATCGGCTCCCTCTTGTACGTGAAGTCCACACTTGCTTTCCCCAGCCCCATGTACACCTTTGTTATTTGAGCCCTGAACATTTTGGGGGGTGAGGTTGGTGACTGAGCCCAAGGCTTCCCGTATAACTGATGTGCTCTACCACTGAGCGACACTGCCGGCTCCCTGAGGGTCTTGGGAGAGACTGTGCGGCCCCCTAACTTCGTAGTTCTTCTGCACACTTTCCTGTAACTGCGTTGGCCATGGCTCCCCACCTAGCAACCTGAGAGGTCCATGAGCTGTCAGAGGCCTGTCCTAATAGCAGTGGAAGGGCCTGCTGTTTAGAGAACTGTGGTCCAGGAGAGGAGGAGGATTTGGACGGAGGTCAGCCTGCAGGGCCGGGGCCTTGCCGGAGGAATAACTGCTGGTGATTCTCTCTGGCAGCTCCAGTGACCAATCAGCCGGTGACCCCCAAGGCGCTCACGGCAGGGCAGAACCGGCCCCACCCGCAGCACATCCCCAGCCACTTCCCAGAGTTCCCCGACCCCCACACCTACATCAAGACCCCGGTGAGTGGCGGAGCCCGGCTGGGGCTGGTGCTGAGCCCACAGTCAGGTTCTTGGGGGAAGAGAGGTTTGGATCTCAGTGACAGGTAAAAATTATGTCCTCAAGTTGCCACCAAACAAGTAGAGGCCAGAAGTCACCTGTCCCACCCGAACACAAAAGAACTTAGACACATAGAAGCAAAACTGTAAGGATATTCCACAAACATTGGTGGTAATTCCTCATGAAATTATAGGTCTCTTTGGTTGTTATGTATGTAGTTTTCTGGCTTTTCAAATTTTCCATAACAGAAAAAATTTTTTAAGTTATTTTTTAAATTTTTATTTATGTTGATGGTAGGTACTGAGGATGGAACTTGGGCCCTCACACTGAGCTGCATCTCCAGCCTTTTTTTTTTTTTTTGGTACCAGGGATTGAACTCCGGTCCTTGTGCTTGCAAGGCAGGCGGTGGAACCACTGAGCCAAATCCCCAGCCCTCCAGCCATTTTTATTTCTTTTTTGAGTGGTGTCTCTCTTAAATCAGTAAACTGCCTAGACTAGGTTCAAATTTGCAGTCCTCCTACCTCAGCCTCCCAGAGTGCTAGGATTACAGGTATACCACACCCAGCTCCCCCTTCCCCAGGAATTGAATTTAGGACCTTGCACTTGCCAGGCTGGTGGCAGAACCACTGAGCTAACCCCGCCCCCCTCCCGGTTAGCCTTGAACTCAGTATATAGCCCAAACTGACTTCAGACTTGTAATCTTCCTGCCTCAGCCTCCTGAGTGCTAGAATTACACATATTTCTTAATTTTTGAGATTAAGAATAAAGACTGATGTATTTACATCATTTTCTTTCTGTGTTCTGGAGACCTCAGCTCTGAAGGATGGTGGAGGCCAGTTTTGGAGGCAAAAACCCTCCAGGCAGCAGGACAGGACTGGGGAGAGCAGGGAGCGTGGCTCTCACATGGCGCCTTCTGCTGACATCTTTGCAGACGTACCGGGAGCCCGTGTCTGACTACCAAGTCCTGCGGGAGAAGGCGGCGTCTCAGAGGCGCGACGTGGAGCGGGCGCTCACCCGCTTCATGGCCAAGACAGGCGAGACCCAGAGCCTTTTCAAAGATGATGTCAGCACCTTCCCACGTGAGTGTCGCCTCCGCGCCCCAAGCTGTCCTGAGCGATCACCGCACCTCGGCCCTGCTCTCAGCCACTGTCCTGTGGGTGCGGCATATTCTCCCCACCTTGGGCTCCTCTTCCCAGCCCGTCCAGCCGGCCCCTGCCCCTGCAGGACTGGCTGCTACAGTAGGTTAGCTTCTGGCCACCGCCGAGCCCGAGGCGTAGAGATTCACACGGGGTAAGTAAGTGGCAGCCCGGAAGCAGAGGGGCACCGGTGACCAAGCTGGCCCCTGTCCCAAGGGCCGTCCCTGGGCTCTTAACCGTGCATCTGTGCACATCTGGCTGTGTGGCCCCGGTCACTGCGGTGACAGCAGCTGGGTCCCCAAATGCCAGACCCCGTGCTCCTCACTTCCCACGCTGCACCTGCCGTGCTCCTCCATGAGCCCACAAGTCGGGACTCACTGTCCCCTTCAGAGGAAGCCGGGGCGCACAGTCGTGAAGTCACCAGCCGAGGGCCACAGACTGCGAGGTGGCGTTCAGGCCTCGCTTTGCAGCGAAGATCCTTTCGGGCGCCTCCTGAAGTCAGATTCCACCAGAGAAGAGCGTGGACACGTATTTCATTCTGATTGCTGGTTTGCATTATTTTTGAGCCAGGGTCTCACTGCTGCCCAAGCTGGTGCTCAGCTTATCCTCCCAGAAAGCTAGACTCCAGCCGTGCACCACTGTGCCTAATTATTATTTTTAAATCAGTTTCTTCCTTTGCCCCCATTGCTTTTTTGAAGAACCAAAACTGATTCGCCAGAGCATCTTTCAGTGCAGTGGACACTAACACACGGAGCCCTCAAATTCAGCCTCTGGATTTACATACGTCCTTCAGGTTGAAGAGATCACTCTCCCTGTGGTAGAAATGAGGGTTTGAGCCAGGCATGGTGACGCTGCTCTGGAGGCTGAAGCAAGAGGATTGTGTATTCCAGACCAGTCTGGGCAGTTTAACAAGATCTGTCTCACAATTTTAAAAAAAAGAGAAGGAGGCTAGGCGTGGTGGCGCCTGCCTTTAATCCCAGCACTCGGGAGGCTGAGGCAGGAGGATCGCTGTGAGTTCGAGACCAACCTGGGCTACGTAGTTCAGGTCAGTCTCAACTACATAGTGAGATGGATACAGCCCAACAGGAAAGCAGTTGTGTACAGGGGCCCTGGGTTCAGTCCCTACCTACTGCAACAGAGCAAAGGAAGGAAGGAGAGAGGGGGCCTGACTGACCTTGGGCGAGAGGTCACACAGCCACTGCATCCCCAGGACCGTCACCCAATTGTCCCGAATGAGCGCAGCCACACTTGCTGACCGTAGGCCTGGCGTCTCACTGCCTGAGTTCAAATTCCTCCCCGGTGTTTCCTGTGTGTTGGAGCAGCACGCTGACTACTGTGCGCCGGGTTCCTTGTCTGTGCACGGGACGGCACCTGGCAGGGTGGGTGAGGGTTAGAGACGGCGCCTGCCCCACTGTCCTGTGCTGTGCCGGGCTCACGACAGTGGTGGTCCCTCCTTCCCATCCCCAGTGATCGCCGCCCGGCCCTTCACCATCCCCTACCTGACGGCCCTCCTGCCCTCCGAGCTGGAGATGCAGCAGATGGAGGAGACGGACTCCTCGGAGCAGGAGGAGCAGCCCGACACGGAGAGCCTGGCCCTGCACATCGGCACGGTGGGTCCCACCCACCTCTGGGGGCCCGAGGATCTCATGGGGTGCCCTGCTCCCCAACACAGGAGGGGGTCCGAGCCCTGGGGAGCCACCCGTGTTCCCACTACCACCGGGCCAGGCACAGCCCCGGGGTGGGGGACCGGCAGCATCCCTGGCCCTTGGGGAAGTGACAGGCGAGGAGACAGGAAGCGTGGTGGGAGGGGACACTGGGGTTCAGAAGGAGGCACCGCACCATAGCGGCTCTCCCGGCCTCAGCAGCTCGCTTGCTGTAAAAGCGGAATCTCAGTGACTTCCCTCCTTAGAGCCCTTGGTGTCACCAGGGGACACCGCTCATCTGGCCCTGGTCCCCACGCCTGAGCTCCTAGGTCACATTTTGAGAGCGGGACACACACCCTGTCCCTGCACCCTCTGCTCACTTTAAAGAACATGGAAAATAGAGGAAAGTTTCAATGAGGAAAGAACCGCCCAGACTCCCAGGGCAGGTTTGGAAAATTTCAGTGTATTGCTTTCTTTTTTTCTAAGTCTACCCAATTGTGATTCTTTAAAAATTTTAATTGTAATCACACCGATTGTATGTGAGCTGAAGATTACTCCAGGATCCCATTCTTCTCAAACAGTAGAAGTCCTGCTCGGGGTCACGGACGGGTGGTATCCGTGACGGGCACATGGTCCTTGGAGCTGGGCTGTGCCGTGTCAGGACCCCAGGACCTGAGGACTTCTGGCCTATGCTGGAATATGGTTGCTGGCACTATAGTGCAAGTACAGGAAGCTGCAGAACTGGAGCAAACCGGTTCCAAGTTACTCAGTTAGGCCTCTGTGACCCCCGAGGACGAGACCTGCTCTGGCCTGGTCCCTGGTACTGCGAGGCGCCCAGGCCACCGCCTGCTCCCCACCTCCCACTGGGCCTGTGTCTGCAGTGCTGTGACACAGTGGGGCTCCCGGCTGCTCCCTTCCGGATGAACGCTGCCCACGGGGGTGCTTGGCATGGGCCCGATCCGATCTTTCTTCTGAAGTTGGTGTTTTGCTTGGTTTCCTCTTCCGCCCAAAGGATGAGTCTGGGGCGGAGAAGGAGAACACGTCCGTGCTGCAGCAGAACCCCTCCTTGGCAGGCAGCCGGAACGGGGAGGAGACCGGCATCGATAACCCCTACCTACGCCCCGTGAAGAAACCCAAGATCCGCAGGAAGAAGTGAGTCGGGCCGGCTGGGGGGCGGCTCGGGCCTGGCTGGTTCCCCCGAGGGCTGCATGCTGCTGCTTCTCTCCAGGTCCCTGTCCTGAGCCGGAGGAAGCCTGGCTCGCGGAGGGGCGCAGCACCACCCCCTGAGAGTTGAAGCCCCTGGAGGGAAGATGCGGGTGACCTTGTGAGCGGAGGCTGCGGGATGGCGTCGGGCAGGGTTTTCATGGAAACCTCAGTCACCTGTTTCCACCGGAAGTCTGGGTCGGAGGAAGCAGTGGGAATCACAAGACTGTCCTCATCACCGGGGCCCCTGTGTCCTGGGGCCTGGCGGCAGCTGGGAGCTTCATTATTATCCCAGCAGTGTGTTCCTCTGAAACCCCAGGCGCAGGAAGGTGCCAGGGAAGAGGGGTTCTTGGCTGCTTTGCTCTGTGCTGGGAAGTCTGTTCCGGGCCCCAGGGTCCCCTTACTGACTCGCAAACAGTTGCAGCGCCGATCGGAAGACCCGGAACCTCACCCGTGCTTCTCTCCTCCCCTGGGCCACAACGCGCTGTGGAGCTGCCGGAAAGTCCCTTGTGCCTTGTGTTGGGCACAGGAGGCCGCGCGCCACAGCTCTGATCTGGCACTGGCTGCAGTTGGGTGCAGCGGGCGGATGTGTTAAGGTGGCGGACAGTGATGGGGGGAGGGCAGCTCCTCCAGGCAGGGACATCCTGAGGGATTGTCATTCACCGTCCTCTGTGGGACCTGCCCTCTGACAGCAGCCTGGCCCCTTGGACACCTCACGCTGTGACTCGTGAAAGAGCAGCTGGAGATTTTAAAGAAGAGGGAAAGGAGTTAGCAGTGTCAGCTGGCACATCGCAAGCTGGGCCTGGCCTTGCGGGTTGGACCCAGAGCCTGGCTGCTCTGCAGGAGGCTGGCGTGGGCTGAGCACATTGCTGCCCGCGGGGCAGCGGTGATGGGAGCCTCCAGGCTGAGCCAGCCAGGGCTTGGGAAAGCAGGAAGCAGGTCTGCGTCCCCTCAGCCGCCTCACCTCATGCCTGAGGACACTTTGCCACCGACGTACCCTCCAAAATGTTTTCGGGGAGATGGCAGGCTCGCTGATGTCCCTTGGCTGGTCTCTGAAGGAGCCATTTGAAAGCCAGATCCAAGGAGTAGAAGGGTCTTGGCCCCAGAAGATGGCCCAGTTTGACAAAGTCGCCCCAGGCTAGGCTCCTGTGGCCACGTTCAGCAGCTGCCCCTGCTATCATCGTGGACACCGGCCCGGTCCCTGGCCTGGCCTGGCCTGTAGAAACTGCAGAGCCCTCTAGGCATATTTATAAATTTCTATTTTTTGTAACTTTGGGGTTCTTCTTAGAGGAAAAGAAAGAGTAGTAAACAGCTGGATTGAAAGTGATTTGTGAAAGGCCCATAATAAAAGTTGATGGTAAAATCTTTGTAAACAAAAATTAAAATAAGGAACACTTTGTAAATAAGCAGCACTGTTAAGCATTGAACTTGATTTGTGTTTGTTACAGTTGTGTGCAAGGCTGTGCGCACACACGCACACACACGAGTAGGTGGCCCTCCCGTCGGATGGTGTATCCTGATGTTTGGGAACTCCGGTGTCTCCCTTGCCCTGCCTTAACACTTAACATCCTGTTGATTCTGTTTCACCTCTTCCCTCCATTGTTTTCTTTTCTTTTGAGACAAGGTCTTAACTGTGTATCCCAGGCTGGCCTCCAAGTCATGGCGATCCTCCTGCCTCAGCCTCCCGAGTGCTGGGACGACAAGAGATGTAATTTTTTTCTTCCTGGAGTAGTTCATCTTTGCTTTTTTTTCTTTCGGTGCTAGGATCAAACGTAGGGCCTATGTGCACTGAGCTGCGCTAGGCCCCCTGGAGTAGACCCATACTGGCATACTGGGGGAAGACTTGAGTTAAAGTCTTGCTGTGTAGTTCACATGCTAGAGAAACGAACTACATAGCAAGGACCCCATCTAAAAAAGCCAAAAAGAAAACAAGATTATAGGGCAACCCTGGAGTGCTTCCTTGGGGCTGGGCCCTCCCAGCCAGCAGCAGCCTCTGGGGTGAACACGTGGGTCCGGGTCACCCAGAACCAGGTGGCTCCCGAACTCTGCCTGTCCCATTCCCATCTGATGCCACCTCGCCCCGTGCTTGCTGCAGCCGCCCCGCTCGTCTGCCTGCACCTCTGCCGGTCCCCCCTCCAAGCCCTCATTTGCCTTCTGCCCCCCCGCAGCAGTGGGGTCTCCGAGCCCCAACCTGTCCCACCTGGCTGTCGCGGTCCCCTGTTGGCTCATTATTTCTTTGGGAAACTTGCCTTCCTCTCACCACAGAAGACTGCGCTCCTGCGTGTGCTGGGCACCCTGCCAACTCAGGATACTGAGGTGAAGGAGCCAGACAAGGTCCCTGCCCCAGGGAAGTCGTTCCAGGGGGAGGACTTACAAAGGAACAGCAAAACGGCCCGACCCGCCGTCATCCCTGTGCTCAGACCCCAGCGGAGAGATCCCAAGCTCCAGCCCGGCCTGGGAAGATTCAGGTCCCCACCCAGGTCCAGGCTGACCCTCACCCTAGCCACACAGGTCTCTGAAAGTTCCCCCCTTCCAAGCCCACAGCTTGTGTGGGCCCTGTCAGTCACCCAGGTGACAGCCAGTGAGTTCTCTGGGAAGTCCTTCGGCCATTGTGGAGGACACTGTCGTGTCCTCTGAAGTCCTCCCCACAGAGCCCCCACTGCGGAGCCCAGGGCCAGATGTGGGGCCCTCACCCTCAGCCGCTCTCTGGTCACAATGCCCTGGAACTCATCCTGTCACGGGGAGCCATTGTCCCTTCCCAGCTCTCGGTGCATCCAGGAGCCACCATCCTGTGGTCCCTCCCTGACACCCTGCGGGTGGCTGTGCCGCCGTCCGCCCAGACACTTGGCCTGCGTCATACCTACTCCCGCCTCCACGCACCCCACTCCCCTCCCTCTCTCCCTCCCTCAAAATAACGGCCTTACATGATTCTTGAGACAGAGGTTTGCTGTGCAGTTCAGGCTGGCCTTGTACTCACTGTGTAGCCCAGGCTGCCGTGGTGACCCTCCTGCCTCAGCCTCCTAAGTGCTGGGATTACAGGCATGCATTGCTATGCCTGGCTGCATGATTTTAAATAATAAAGCAGCTCACATTTATATAGAATATGTATCTATTTAGCACTCCCTATGCGTCAGGTGCTATTTTAAAACAATACTTGAGTAATAAACACAAAAGGCTTAAAAGGATAAACGGTAGAGACTGACGTTCTGACACACCTTCCCCAGTAAGCCCGGCCCCGCCTGAGACAAACCTTATGGCCTCGTGGACGCCCCTTCAAAGCTCTTCGCCTTCGAAGCTCACAGACGAGTGTCGGGTTCCTTCTTGCAGCGCAGTGGTGGCCTAGAGATGCCGCTCTACGTCTCTGCATGCTGGGGGGGACCCCGGCTTGTGCCCCGCAAAGCCACACCCAGCCCTCCCTGTTTGGGGGTCCCTTCCCACTCCCCCCAGATCCATCCCCCCCAGTGCTGAGCCCCCAGCAGGGCTGAGGTGACAGCGGGTGTAGCCGGGCCCGGCTGCCACCTGCTGAGCTGCAAGTGACAGAGTCACAGGAGTCAGGGGCACTCATGGTGAGGCCCGGTGATGTCTCCGTGTGTCGCTGAGCCACATGGCAGTGGAGAGGTGAGGGTCCCTCTCCCCATCAGAGTTAATCAAAGGGGGACTGCCTCCTTCCTGGAGCCGGTCGCCTGCGGGTGACAGAGGGGAGCGGGCCCTCTTCTCTCGGAGAAGCCCGAGGCCAAGCGGTCCGCTACCCCGGCTCCCCGGCCCCGGCCCCTCCGTCCCTTCTCCTGCTGTAGAGCCACAGGAGGGGAGAGGTGAGGGTCCCTCTCCCCATCAGAGTTAATCAAAGGGGGACTGCCTCCTTCCCGGAGCCGGTCGCCTGCGGGTGACAGAGGGGAGCGGGCCCTCTTCTCTCGGAGAAGCCCGAGGCCAAGCGGTCCGCTACCCCGGCTCCCCGGCCCCGGCCCCTCCGTCCCTTCTCCTGCTGTTCTTCCTCTGCACTCCACTGCCTCCTGTGGCCACCGTGGTCAAAAGCTGTCACAAATGCAGTCCCTTCCAGACACCAAGACCCCCCCCAGCATCCTCAGGCACCCACACTGCACCAGGACTCAGGGCTCCAGCCGATTACCTGGCCTGGGGACACTGCCCATGACGCAGAGAGGTTCGGGGTTCGTCTGTGCTGGGCAGGCCTTTCCTTTCCAGGGATCCAAGGGGAGGACTGTCTAGAACCCCTGGAAAACTCAGGGAGCCTCTGTATTGTAAAAACATTCAGATTGGGCGTGGCGGTGCACACCTGCAGTCCGGCACTTGAGAGGCTGAGGCGGGAGGATTGCTGTGAGCTTGAGGCCAGCCTGGGCTATGTAGTGAGCTCAGCCACTGGGGCCACCAGGAGCTGTGTGACCTTCTCTCAAGCCACCCTGGGATAAGACATTCCCCCCAGGTGTGTCAACCCAAGACTGTCCAGAGATACTGGCAGATGTTCCCCAGGAGCAGGGTCACCCCGATGAGAAGCCCTGAGCTGGAATGCATGCCCAGCAAGGAGCCGGTGGAAAAGAACTGGGGACAAATGGGATTTTCCCCGGAGCAGGAATTTCTTGTCACTGTCCCTCCGAGTACTCTCCCTGAGGCTGGACTCCAGGAACATTCTGGAGGCTGGGGCTGGGCCAGCCCCAGGCTGACCGCCTGCTGGGAGTCCCAGGCTGCTCAGTGACCTGGGTGTTCCCAGCCCCCCACCCCCGACACGACACCTCCCTGCCTGCTGTGAGTGGGGGAAGGGAGGGGCTGGGCATGGGGCCACACAGACAGGCGTGGCCCGCAAAGTGGTCCTGAGGGAGCGGACAAGCAACGGTGAGGGTTGGTGGCAGCCCTGACCTTGCAAGGTGGCTGATGAGCCAGGACAGGGCCCAGGGCGGGACTTGGCTGAGAGCCGCCAGGTGCACCTCTCCGGGGCAGTGACAGCCTCAGTCCCGGCCAGGAGGGATCAGGGCTACAAGCAATCACTCAGGCGCTGCTTTGAGGTAGATATAAAAAGAAGCGGGACTGTGGCGATGTCTCGGAAGTCCTCCACAGTAACAGTGACTCCGTGGCCCCCGCGGGTGTCCGTCCCAAGCCTGTTCGTTCTTGTTTCTGTCCCTCTCAGAGTGGCAACTCCGAGAGCCCTGCCGCAGCCTCCCCAGCTCCTTACCCCCGTCTAGCTGTGTGACTGCGGCCAGGTGGCTGGTCCTGGGGGGCCGTTGTGTGATGACGCACAGCTGACCGCCTCCAGGCACTTGTTCAAAATTCAAGTTCTCAATCACACAGAACTCGACCTGGGAAACTGCTGACGTCTTCCTGGGCTCCTCGTGCCAGCCACATGGAACCTGGGCCATCTCGCTTCTATCAAAAAATCATTTTTTGAAGACAGCTTCTCATTATGTAGCTCAGCCTGGGCTTGAGCTTGTGATCCTCCTGCCTCAGCCTCCCAAGTGCTGGGATTACAGGTCTGCCCCACCACACCTGACTTCAACCTCCCTTGTATCTAAATCCAAACTTGGATTCTACTGGCTGGGCTTAAATTCAGGCACCTGTGGGCAGGCACAGCGTCACCTGCTAGTTACCACCACTCCGTGCGCACACAGGGAGGGACACCAGACACTCGGAGAAAGCGGCTGACATGAATGTCAGCTGCGGCTGTAAGCGGCCAGGGGAAGGTCGCCGAAGGCCAAGGTGGCAAGGGGTGGGGTGTAGGGCACAGCAGGAAAAGCAAGCGCTCCTGTCAGCCGGCTCCTGCCCTGCGTGGCCTCCTGCCCGTGTGATGCCCGCCCCTCGAGCCCGCGGGCACTGGGTGGGGAAGCCGGGGACCCCCTGCTCCGCAGCCGTGACCCGGGAGTCTCCCGCGAGCCTGAGTCCCCGATTCGGAACCCACAGCGCCCCCT